TGGTGTGCTGTTGACCTCAACTCGTGACGTTGTGGGTCGGTGGGCGGAGTACTTCGAGGACCTCCTCAATCCCACTGGCGCGTCCTCCGTTGGAGGGGCAGAGCCTGGGGATCCGGAGTTTGGATCTCTAATCTCCGGGGCTGAAGTCACCGAGGCAGTCAAAAAGCTCCGCGGTGGCAAGGCCCCGGGGGTGGATGAGATCCGGCCGGAGTTCCTTAAGGCTTTGGATGTTGTGGGGCTGCGTTGGCTAACGCGACTGCAACATCGCGTGGACATCAGGGGCAGTCCCGCTGGATTGGCAGACTGGGGTGGTGGTCCCCCTATTTAAAAAGGGGGACCGAAGGGTGTGTTCCAACTATAGGGGGATCACACTCTTAAGCCTCCCTGGGAAGGTCTATTCAGCGGTTCTGGAGAGGAGGGTCCGTCGGATAGTCGAGCCTCGGATCGAGGAGGAGCAGGGTGGTTTTCGTCCTGGCCGTGGAACGCTGGACCAGCTCTATACCCTCAGCGGGGTCCTAGAGGGTGCATGGGAGTTCGCTCAACCAGTCCACATGTGTTTTGTGGACTTGGAGAAGGCGTTCGACCGTGTCCCTCGGGGTATCCTGTGGGGGGTGCTCCGGGAGTATGGGGTACCTGGCCCCTTGTTACGGGCTGTTCGGTCCCTGTACGACCGGAGTCAGAGTCTGGTTCGCATTGCCGGTAGTAAGTCGGACTCGTTTCCGGTGGGAGTTGGACTCCGCCAAGGTTGCCCTATGTCTCCGGTCCTGTTCATAACTTTTATGGACAGGATTTCTAGGCGCAGCCGAGGTGTTGAGGGTGTCAGTCTTGGTGGCCTTAGGATCGCATCTCTGCTTTTTGCAGATGATGTGGTCCTGTTGGCTCCATCAAGTCGGGACCTACAGCTCTCACTGGAGCGGTTTGCAGCCGAGTGCGAAGCGGCTGGGATGAGGATCAGTGCCTCCAAGTCCGAGACCATGGTCTCTCACCGGAAAAGGGTAGAGTGCCTTCTCCGGGTCGGAGCGGAAGTCCTTCCCCAAGTGGAGGAGTTCAAGTATCTCGGGGTCTTGTTTGCGAACGGGGGTAGGGAGCGTGAGATCGATAGGCGGATCGGTGCGGCGTCTGCAGTAATGCGGGCGCTGTACCGGTCTGTCGTGATGAAGAGAGAGCTGAGCCTAAAGGCGAAGCTCTCAATTTATCGGTCGATCTACGTTCCCACCCTCGTCTATGGTCACGAGCTTTGGGTAGTGACCGAAAGAACGAGATCGCGGATACAAGCGGCCGAAATGAGTTTCCTCCGCAGGGTGGCTGGGCTCTCCCTTAGAGATAGGGTGAGAAGCTCGGCCATCCGGGAGGGGCTCGGAGTAGAGCCGCTGCTCCTCCACGTGGAGAGGAGCCAGTTGAGGTGGCTCGGGCATCTGATCAGGATGCCTCCTGGTCGCCTCCCTGGGGAGGTGTTCCGGGCTCGTCCCACCGGGAGAAGGCCCAGAGGAAGACCCAGGACCCGCTGGAGGGACTATGTGTCCCGGCTGGCCTGGGAACGCCTCGGGATCCCCCCGGAGGAGCTGGCCGAAGTGGCCGGGGAGAGGGAAGTCTGGATTTCCCTGCTCCGGCTGCTGCCCCCGCGACCCGACCCCGGATAAGCGGAGGAGAATGGATGGATGGATGGATTTTGCTGATAGTTTTTAAAGCTTTACATGGGCTTACTCCACAATATCTGACTGACCACCTGTACTTTTACGCTCCCTAAAAAACATTGAGATCAGCCAGTCAGCTGCTGCTGGTGGTCCCTCAAACCAGAATGACGTCTAAAGGCGATCAAGCCTTTAATGTGGCCCCAAAGCTCTGGAATAGCCTGCCTTTCAATTTAAGATCTGCCCAGACCCTAGAAGTGTTTAAGTCCTCTTTAAAAACTCACTTATTTGACATGGCTTTTAACATTTTAACCTTAGGTTGAGGTAGAGCACATTTTTACCTTTTTATGTATTTTTATTTATTTAATTTTTACATTAAAATTACATATACATGTGAATCATGCTCGCTTTTTATGTGTATTCTTACCTGTACAGCACTTTGGCAACTTTGGTTATTTTAAATGTGCTCTATAAATAAAGTTTGACTTGACTAATGTTGCCACTGGGTATCTCTATTCACCACAAACTTTATGGAGGGAGAAAACTGTAAAAAGCTTCATTTTTATTCTTCTATCCACAGAAATGTTGAACAAAACTCTGCTGCTGTTTGTGCAGAAGCTAATGCAGACTGTCTCCAAAAGGGGAGTCCCTCTGATAACCAGCCAATAGTTTTTATTTTATTAATTTAGTTTTTTTTAGATGATGATGTGGTCATTGGTTTTTATTTAATGAACACTCAGACATAGAAAACCAGCTGACTGCATTCACTGGGGATGGAAACTGTCCTGCACAGTGTTCTGTTTACTGAATTAGGAGCAGAATCCTTCCTTTAGTCCCATCCGTGACGTGGAAATTCGAGTTGTGTTCAGCCAGCGGACTTTCTGCTTGGTTGTAATGCTGGCTGTGTGTGTCTGAACGTTGTTCCAAACTATGTGCGCGTGCTCTTCTATACTTTCTAAGTGTCTTAGTCCTACTCTGTGTTTTATCTTGTTCTTGTATTTTTCTACCTCAGTGTTGGAGATGAAGGGGGGATGCATGGTAACTCCCTTAAGGACTCACAAACAGCCCCCAGGAGCAGAGGTGTCTCCAGGCTTTGTTCTTTGTGGATCTTTGGGCTTCATCTCTCAGCCTAAAGGCTTCTTCTGTCTGAATGGCTGTGAGAAGTTGTGGGAGGAGGGACAGGCTGCTCTGGAAGTGCTGGGAAGGCCACAGCTGAGGGAACAGCTTACTGAGCAGATTCTTCACAGGATGCTGATTCTGGAGTGAACAGGACGGCTGGTGGAGGAATATTATACTACTGATCTGATGAGAAACAACAGTTTAATGGCTCACTGTGACCAAACACAAATAAACTTTACCAGTTTAGCCAATCGATTAAAAACCCAAACAGGAATGGGGTTGGGGGGCTTATCAGATCAGGTTTAAAGCTCAGACTGCAGGAACAGCGCTCATGACTGTTTTCTGGGAGTCTTTATCTCTGATTGGCAGCAGCTTTTTGTTTTCAGCTTTAAGAACTGAGAGTAAATGAGTCATTCCCTTAGTCTGCAGACTGTTGGCGTGTTGTTCTGCTGTAAGCACAACGGCCGAGCTTTTTCCCTCCCTGTGTCTCCTAGTGCTGCTCTTGGTGGGAACTGTTGTTATTCTGTAAATAACTCTGAGCTGCTCTGTTTGGAAAGCTTAGAGATAACTGTTGTTGTTGTGATGTGGCGCTATATAAATAAAATTTAATTGAATTTAAATCTGTCTCTTTTTGCAAAGACTCAGGTTCTGGGCAATCCTACACAAGTCCCCATTCCAGAGCCAAACAAAATTCGTCACCAGCAGAGATTACTTGCCAGAGTTACTTGAAATTATGGTAAATACAGAAAGAAAGTGTTTATTGAGTCAAAGTGACAAGTGACAGCTGACAGTTACACACTCCCGGTTTGGTTTTCATGCACCACCAAATCTCAAAATATAACATCTCAGTGGATAAAAAAATGAAAGTAAATGCATTTGAATTAGGCCATAAAGTAATAAACTCAAAATAATGAAACCACCTCCAAACTTTTCTGCTTTATGAGAAATCTGTGGAAGGGAAGTTAGTGGTTGAGTGGATAATCTGGGCTGGGATCATTTGTGCATTTCTGCCTTTACAGTCTCTGATTGGACCTTATTCGTGTTGGCCATGTTGTTGTTTTTTTAAGGATTGGAAGCTTTAAATGCACAATTCAAAGAGAGCAGCGTGTTTTCGAGGTTTCAGCCTCAGAGTGGACTTTCCAGCAGTTTCTGAGCAACTTTCTCAGCTGATTGGAAGCCTTTTCAGCACATTTCCTCAGCCTGGGGCTCAGCAAGTACGAGATGGAGCTGCAGCATTTCAAAGATTAATGAACTTTTTGTGGCCACATTTGATTTTGTGCAAAAGTCCCCGAGTGGCTGTAGACCCCCACCAGCCTCCATTGTCCATTGGCCCCTCACCACAGCTTCAGCTCTCTGGAAAGGCAGGGGTCAACCTCCCTGAGAGCCTCTATCAAAGTTTTGCTGCTTTCATGTCCCTTCCTCATCACAGTATCAATCACATCTCGAGCTTTCTCTGCTCTGGGCTTCGTCTTTGCTGTCTGCATCACCTCATTAATCATAGCACCGTGCTGAAGGAGTTTATCCAGCAGCTGGTTCAGCACAGAATCAGAGACTCCTTTAATGAACTGCACCCGGACAGCAAACAGTCTGTCTTTTGCTTGGAGTCCTGGGATATCCCTCTGTGAAGATTCCCCTCTGGGACCTTAAAGAAAAGCAGAGAAATGAATATCAAAATCTTAAGTCAAACAGCTATTGGCTGGTGGTTTAAACATGATATCAGGCTGACATGTTTTAGGCATAAAGACTCTGATCTGACTCTGGGTGGATTAGAGGAGTGACACCAGACAGTCTGACCCCGAATGGCTTTTCTCCTTAAACACTGTTCAAACATGTAAACACAAGAGTTTGAGCTTTTGATTCTTTGTGTTAATCCAGAGGTTTTAAGACTAAATCGCAGGTAAAGAATCCTGGAGTTTGATTGGACTCAGACCTGAACTTCAGCAGTTACATCAAAGCTGAAGCTAAGACAGCTTTTTCCCTCTTCAAACTGCCCCAATTAGAGCTTTATCCTGTTTGCGATCCTTTCCTCTGCCCTCCACAATCAGAGTCCAGTCCCCACCCATCCTGCTTCCAGCAGGTTGGACTTTTTTGCCATAATGCCTCTACAGTGTGCCATCTAATGACCCCGAGTGGCACAGACTCCCCCGTTAACACTGGCTGTGGACAGGCACTCACAGCTTTTGTCTCTGGAGGCTTTCTTTGTCCCAACATCAAAGCTGTGGAGCAAACACAAGCAAACAGAGAGTACAGAGAGAGAGAGAGAGAGAGAGAGAGAGAGAGAGAGAGAGAGAGAGAGAGAGAGGCTGCAGTCAGTCACTTTCCCATCATTCCTTCAGGAATAACCAGTTTATTTTAAGAGACACATCAAAGTTAAGTAGCCTGTGAAGAAGAGTAAAAAAACATTCTGTTTAATATTCTGACAGGAAACAACCCAAAATAAAACATTTAAGTCTCTTTGTGTGATAAAAAAGCTATCTCAGTCATCCATTAGAGCTGAGCATGACCACCAGGGGGCGCCGAGAGCAATTACAGGCAGAGTTGGGTCATTTTTCTCCTCATTTCTTTGCATATTTGAGTGATAATTCCTATCATCAATGGCAAAACACCTTAATGCAAACTTAAATCTGCGGTCTGTTTTTATATGTTCATTAACAATTTTACGGACAAATAGTCTAGTGTTTCAATGTAGTTTCCCAGTGACACATTAGAAGGTCAAACCAGTTTCCTGTAGCTGTGAAAGTGATCAATGATCAGAATTATTGGTAAGAAAGAGATGGCTGAAAAGTCATTGTGTCCCCTGGAGGCTTAGATTGGTACTGCATCTGCCTTTTTTCTCAGGTTCATTTGAGTTTTGGACTTAGTTTTAGGTTAAAAACCCTTGTGATTGGTCTGCATACAGCTTATGTCTTCCCCCATCACAGCATTCATTCAAGAGTTGAATAAGATAAACAGCTATGATCTAGAACAGTGGAACTGCTCAGGCTTTAAGCTCTGGGGACTCTGGAAGTAAAAAACCCTGACGCCACGAGGCTGTTCATGCACACACAAAATAACCAGAGAGGTCTTTGTATCTCTGCATAATTAAGATTTCTGCTACCCGCAGGCCTACAGAGCACAGAGGGTGTTCAACCTGCAGCCAGAGGCAGGAAAAGACAGTTCAGCTCCCCCTCTGCTGACCTCACAGTCTCCAGTCGATACTCAGGGCTGTCCACCAGAGCACACAGACTCTCCTCAGCTGGTTTTCCCAGGTAGTTTCTACCCAGCTCCAGTTCCACTAGGTGGGAGGGGTTTGACTTCAGGGCTGAGACCAGAGACCAGCAGCTGGTCCCAGACAAGCTGCACCTGTACAGTCTGAGGAGAGCAAAGGACAATCTGGGTCCAATCACATTCAGAGTAAAGCCAGTAAAGACAGATGTTGCACACAGATGTGACTGTGGGTCCAGTCACATTCAGCTGGTCTCTGACAACCTGCAGAGCCCCAATCTGAATAAAGAACAAAAGCTGTGAGCTGAAGACTTTACCATGAAGAGCAGCACAGCTTTCAGCTCATCCTCTGATCTGAACTAACCACTAAAACCTGGAGTCTGACCTCAGAGTCTTCAGTCCACAGAGTGGACTCTGCAGAAAGCTGCTCAGCTCCTTCATCACACACTCAGAGATGGGGTTCAGGCTCAGGTCCAGTTTTGTCAGATGGGAGGGGTTGGACTTCAGAGCTGAGACCACAGAAGACCAGCTGCTCTCTGACAAACTGCAGCCCTCCAACCTGAATAAAGAATAAAAGATGTGAGCTGAAGCCAACGGGATGCAGGTTACAACAGTCAAACAGAACCAGAGAAAAAGAGCTCTCATTCACATTAATGACAACATGCTGCTGCTTCATAAAGACACAGTGACTTCAGCTCTAAACTCTGCCAGCTCCACCAGTGGCTCCATCCACACAAACACATGCTGACCAGAATAATAATTTATGTTATTATGATCATTATTTGAGGTGTGATTTTTTCTAATATTCATTATTCTATCCACATTAAAACAACAGAAAGTCTGTAAAATCACAAAAATGTCTTCAGTAAGAAAGACGTTTTTTTAAAATATAATCTTGATTGTGTGAGTGCCAAAGAGCTGGAGTCTAAATCTGTTCCTTTAATGTGTTCTCAGAGTTGTGATGTCATCAGTTAGGAAGATGGACAGTGTGGTGGGTTTCTTTTGAAAAATAGGCAGAGGTTGATTTCCAGTGCTAAGGTGTTTATTTTGCCCGTAATCCAAAACACCAGAATGCACAGAAATATTTATAGTGGAGCGAAAAATATGTACAACTATGTACAAAAATAGAAAATGAAAAAAAAAGTATTTCCATTCAGTTATTGGAACTCTCTCTGTGCTCTGTTACCTCCTGTGTAACCCCACAGCTCTCTCTGTAACCTGACAGAACTCTCCTCTAGGCCGGAAGGGCTCGCCTTATATGCCTTTTGGCCCCTCCCACTGGACAATTTAACGCTAAATACAAACAAGATGCCTTAAGAGGCACTCACACAGGCTATGTCATGCTAACAAAAATAAACAATATATTAAATCAAAATATACCAGGTTTGATCGTTAGTTCAGGATTAAAACTCTCTACGTGATGAGCCGATCACCTGATCAATCTAACGGCGCCAACACTGCCCATTTAAACCAGGGGGAAGGATTAGATCTGCTTGCCCATGGAAGGAAACCCCACACAAAGGTAACCCAGTGCTGAAATGTAATATGTTTGTATATGCGAACATCCCCAAGTGTGCACCCATGGGGATTGTAACCAGCGGGAAAACGGGGCAAAGGAAATTAAATAACGTGTACCAAAATGAATAGCGTGGCAGGGAAACGGGAAATATGAAAGTGAATGCTACGTGTATGTAACTTGGGTCCGTGACTTTAAATAATGGCAGAGAATAATTTAATAAATGTATGTGCGTGTACATGGATGTGAGTGCGAATGTCGCGTCAACCGGTGGATGTGTGAGTGAACGCGCGACTTGTTATAAGTGACGGACGTGCTCCGTCACAGACAGAAACTCAGTGGGATCAGCATTTGTCAAACCTCTTTCTCATTGGTAGATAACTGCTTTATCATTGAGCCTAATCCACCCCTCAGACAGCTGAGTTTG